AACCGTAGGCAGAGAGGGAGAAGAGGACAACAAACGAGGGGCTGTGACAAACTGTTTCGTCGGAGTTTCACCGACTCATCAGGAGGCTGAACCCCCTATATATACTTGCATATGGGACTTGTCATCTAGGATCCGTTTTTGGTGCTGTTGCTTGTTGCCCCCTGTTTTGTTGTATTTGGCTGTTCTCTTCCTCTTTTCTTTGTCTCTTTGCCCTTTGGCTGTGTGCAACTGGGTCGATATGACACACGGGGTGGGGGCAGCCGCCGCTCAACCTACATCCACGTGGTGGCTTTGTACGCAAGAGGTTCTGAACAGGGGGAGTTGTAAGTAAGAAGATACAAAATGAATTGATATCTTTTTTGTTGCCTTTTTTTTTTTTTCGCTTTTGCGCTCTGATAACTTTGTGACAATATATATAAAAAAAGAAAACGACAACCGACCACAAAAAATCAAAGGGCCCCTGATAAAGGGGCCAACCAACCCCTCTTCCCGGAGGACCGAGCGGGGCTACCAAACGAAAAAAATCGGACCCCGCCCATCCCGGTCATTCCTGGAACACATAAAATTGACTTTACACCCCCTATACGAAATTTCTGCCCCCTACCAACGACCGGTACATCTGCCAACAACCGGTACCTGACCAGCGACCGGTGTTGCCCGTGACACAAAAAAACAGAAGGAAGTAAGGGAAGTGTTGCGGGGGCATGTGAGATGATTTGTGTGCGAAGGGATGGAAAGGGAGAGTGATGCTTACACGCAAAGGGGAATACTGGTGGTGGTGGAAAGGGTCTGCAAGATGATGCACACCCAATTGAGGGGCGTTGAAAGATGCTTTACCAGCAAGGTGGAAGATTAAAATATCATTTATGTGCAGCAGTGTGGAAGGCAAGGGGGGTGGTGTGGTGTCAAGAGGATGGGATATTTACATGAAATGATGGATGGGAAGAGGGGGCTCACAAGGTGGTTTTCACACTAATGGGCGTAGAGGGGTTGGGGTGGGGAGTGAGTGGGGATCGGTGAGGGGTGGCAGAATGCTTTGCAGGCAAGGGGGAATGGGGGGAAGGCATGTCAAACGAGGATGCAACATGTTATCCATGCAAGGGGCGCAGGGAGAGAGAGTGTTATGGGGGTTCGCAACATTGCATGCATGCAAGGATGGGAGATGGGGAGCGGCAAACGCGTGACCTCTGTATTGGAGAGTGAATGCGTTTATCTGTAGGTCGTACGCTGTTTGTATTTGTGAGAGAGGGAGGGACGGAGACAGGGAGAGATGAGGTCAGGCGAAGGGGGATGAAGAAGACAGCAAACTGCACTTCCAGCCAGTGTGGACACAGTCTGGAACTTCAGAATTGGTGGCCTGGTAGTGTTACGGACTTCGCCAGGGCTCGATCCCTGGTCTATCTTTTGCTGTTTCGGCTGCATCTGGTACTGTAGGATTTTGGACAACTGGCGCCATGCTGCAATTCGGGCGCCACTTTCAAATACTGCATTTTTCGGTTCTGCCCTCGGGGCCTTTGCAGAAATGCCCCTGGTACCGTACGTGTCACCGGTACTTATACCGGCTCCCCGTACGGTACGGGGACCAGTCTCGTACCAGTTCTCTGCTGCTGTACTCGTACTCAGTGTGACTTGCTGTTTTCGGCATTCGAGAATTAAAGACTTCGACTTTGTGCCTTGCCACTGTGTCTGCGTCCGATCCTCAGTCCGAGTCCGTCGTGTCGAGTGAGTGAGTGTGTGTGTGTGCTCTCACTCTCCCCCTCTCTCTCCTCGCCCTCGGCTCACCCTCAGCCTCACGCTCGTTACAGGTAGTGTCTCCTAAATGTTGGTATGATGCTGCTCTAAGTCGTACCGGATCATTTCATGACAGCCAATGGCCCCAAAATTGTAGTCAGTGCAAAGCTCGAATCTGTGCCAGAATGCCTGTTCCTTCTGGGTCACAGCCATGAGGTCCCCGTGGCCGTCCACATGCACGGGTCATAACCGTGGTTCGATACAAGTGCTTGCTGATTAGTAATTGCTGTGGGCATCTACAATGCATCCTGCTGTCGTAAATGGATTGCACAACGGATCAACCCTCTGACTGGCTCCATTTTGTTTGTAACAAACAGGTGCACTATGGACCAGGCGCATCCTCTCCCGCGTGTTGCGTGGTTCTGTCAATGATGGAGACCTGACGGAAATTGAGGCTATTGCTGCTGGGAAGGCAATTTTGTTTGGCAATTCTGTACGGCTGTACGGACTGAATGTGGCTACCATAGCCAGCTGTAAGGATTCTGATGTGGTGAACATCCATCACCAGCAAAGCTCAGCAGAAACTGTGAGGAGCCCAGTCATCATCCCGAACCAAAATGGATATGTGCGGATGATGTGGATGGACATTTCAGCAATGAGGAGGTGTAAGGTGAGTGCCAGCACTACATAAGGTCTTAGTGTTACTTTTCATTCATGAACATTATGTGCAAAATGAGTCGCACTCCCACCACTGCACCATTTGATGAACCTCATGTGCCAAATCAACCATGCTCCCGCCGTGGCATCCTTGTGACACAGTATTGCAGTTCATTCTATACATGGCATCCTCTTTATTGCGTTATTGAAGGCTGCTTTGGGTGCTTGGTTGAATTAGAGTGCCAGAGCAGAGTGATTGCATAGACTCACCCCTGAAGACTGCTTTGAGTGCTTGGTTGAAGGAGACTGGGGTGATTGTGCAGACTCACCGCAACAAAAAACATCAGGAGAAACACGGGTTTATCATGATACAGAGTCAATGGACTGTGCTGGCATGTCCCGTTCAACCACAAAAATGTGGGCAACGTTTATGCTGTAATGTGTCATTACAATTTCCTGCTGAAAGTTCCTGAAAATTTGTGAAAATATTACAAACAGACAAAAGTTTTGCGAACAAGTTTGAACTCTGCTTGAATTTGAGGACACAGAGTTTGTAAAACGGCGAATGGTTTACGACACACACGGACATGAATGGACACACACACAGGTAGGTAGGTAGGTAGGTACATTGGTAGGCAGGGAGGCGGGTGAGCAGGCAGGCTGGCGAGCAGGTAGGCAGGCAGGCAGGCAGGCACAGGGAGGAAGGGAGGAAGGATG